AAGGACTGAGAGTATCGATAGAGAGATTGGATATACTGAGTATTAGATTTAAAAGCTGTTCAAAATTTCCAAGATTTGGCAGAAAAAACTGGGAGCCCAAAAGCAAAGAAATTATAACTTCTTGTCAGATATTTCACAGATGCAATGCTAGGAAAACAAATATTCAAAATTCAACTTCTGTGTTATATTACGAGGTTAACATTGCAGAATCTCATTATGAGGCTCTAGACAGAATGCCTGAGATTGTATCCCATTGCTACCTTATTAGACAAGTAAATGAAACTCCTTATATGTTAAAGGCAGTAAATTCTTATCTAGCTCACAAAGTGATAAGAGAAATAATGAAACAAATCTCTAACCTGTGTTTTTTCATCACTAGGATATTTTACTCTATCCTTGCTTCCAGGAAGACTATGGAAAAGCTTTTTGTTACTGAGATAGGAGAACATATGAAAAGTACAGGACATACATTAAAACTGAAATAACCATGTACAAATGACCATTAATAACAGGGAAGTAAAAGTGGATAAACCGCCATAGTATGTTTTTTCCTCCATAACATTTAAATAAACATTTTAAAAAAGACCATTAAAACTTTTATTTAATGGCCAGAATTTATTCAGAGGTAGACCTTATATTTATAAATAGTCCAGTATAGGAGTAGACCTATAAAAATTACAGATCAAATAAATCATGAATAGAAACTGTAATTGGCAATACAACCAGCCAATAGTCACATATGTTCTTCCATTAAAATAGCTAATTTTCCTATACAACTTATTTGTCACCCGCTTTTTGTCATCAGGACTTCCAAAAACTACAAAATTCATCTGCTTCAAATCCTAAATTCAATATAGCTTTATTTCTTGTATTAAGGTCAGTATTTGGCCAATAATACTATAACATTATTGGTCAATAAAACAAACTAATGGTGAAAGAAGTAATTTGCTACATTGTCTGACTCAGATAATTCACCTTTGGTACTGGCACTTGTCCTTAGAAAATCTTCAGATGTTTTATAAATGAGTTACCCTTTCATCTACCTTTTAGTATAGTTTCATCATTAATTGACTAATTTGAGAGGACACGAGGACCATACTGCCAAAATGGCCTTGATAAGGGACCTCGTATTGAAGCTAGAAATATATTTTGCTCAAACTCAGGCTGTAAAATCAAAAAGCAACAACATCAAATGTATACTCATTATTTTGTTGCTTTAGGGACCGTGTTAAAAAAGATGAGCTCAAACTACCTAAGGCCAACTAATACTGAATGATAGAATGTCCCATCTTTTGTAGCAAGATTCTGTAATCAAGATGTCTTCCAACAGTTCTTACTGTGAATTTACGTAACAGTATTGTTTAATAAGGCTTCTATCTCCAAGGGTGGTGGGAATTGTATGGGGACTATACCCAAGATGAAAATGCATATATTGTGCAAAACTGAAAAATTATGTAAGAATATATAAAATAGAAAAAGAAAAAGAAAATAAAGCTTCTAATCTAAATTTCACATGTGACAGTTCTCAGAGAGTAGGAAATCACTGTCTTAATATAAAAGCTTAACACTTCCTTCTGAGGCATACCCTAAACAAAACAGTGAACATACTGCATTAAAATAAAAAAGGGTTGCCCAAGAATCATTCCTACATTAGTATGTATTACACACTGAATAGAGAAGCATTTCTAGTTCAAACTAGTGAAATAAAAAAATATAATTTTACTTAATTTTGATCTAAAACTGTCAGATCTAAAAATCAGCAGTATTTTCAATTGAAAGTTTTTACAACAATTAGAGTATTTCCTTAGATGGGGGCAAAAAAAAAATCAGTGTTTGTTTTTTGTAGACTCTTGGAATTAAAGATACTGGCCAATAAAATCTATAATGCTGCTAAATCACAGGAGAAATCTAAAGGAATAAAAAGCAAGATAACTAGAGGTAGGGAGTGGGGATGGGGGAGATATTTTTAAGATCATCAGAAATAAGATACATTAAGTTTTCTAAAACAACTGAAAATATGTTGCTAGTATATGGCTCAAGAATTGGATAACTTAAACTGTAGTTTATAGCTATAAATTAATTTAAAAATAACCTTAAAAAATTCATTTTACTACAAAGCTACTATCAGTCAGCAATAATGTTGAATTCTGACCTTTGGTGTCAGCATCAGTTATTTGCTCTTTGGCTACTTCCTCTTTTTCAGCTATCGCCTGGAAGATGGCAGTCAGGAAGAAAAAAAGCAATTCACATAGTGGGCCTTCACTGTCATTTCTACAAGAGCTTCCTCTAATACTTCTGTGAATGAAATGTTTAAAATGATTTTAAAGTTCTGTTCATATACTGAAAAAAAACTCCATTGGAATAAACATTTTAATCAACAATAGACCTATATGACTATTTTCTAAAGTGTCCATTGTGAAAGTAGAGTCAAGTATTTTCAAAGGCAAATAAAAAAAATTTATAATGATTAGAATAAAATCGTAAGTCAAAATCACCACATTCAAGAAAGCCAAGTGGCCTCAAAGATCAATGTAATTTTTCACCTAAGTTTAAATCTGAGTTGCAAATTAAGGCCCATTTTTAAAATAATAATTTTAATTATTTGAACAATACAAATATTTATTATTATTGTCCCAGAGTTCTAAAAGTTATGTGGAACTTACTGTTAACCAAAAAATGCATTGGAAAGGTGATCATCAGCATAATGTTAATCCCAATATTGTGTCCAAGTCATAAATGCTTCATCTAATTCATCTTACCTAAATCATTGTTTAGACCTTCTTGATCTGTAAGGCACAATGATTCATGCCTCACCTAGCAATAAAAAGTGAGGGAATATGAAAGCTCTCTTGAAAAGAATGCACTGTTACTAATATAAGAGTGGTACTATAATTCTACATTTGAGAATTGTTATTCGGATCTTGAGAAAATTATTTTGCTATTTGACAGAAAAATCCAAAATTTGATCTCATACTAATTTAGTTCTTACAAATGATACTTATACACAGTAAAATGTTTAAGTATAGAAGCAAAACAAACTCATAAACAAAAGGCAAGCAATAATTTGTTTCCAAATCTGCTGATACCAATTCCTCCCAACCTGCACTTACAAACCAAGCCATCTGCAAGAAGTTCTTTCACCTTAAAGCCCACCAGGCCTGTAACTTCTCTGACTAATGGAATATGACAGAAATAAGACTGGGCTGTTCCAAGCATATCTTTTAAGAAGACTGGCATTTTGTCTTCTGCCTCTTGGAGCCCTCAGATGCCACATACAAAGTGCAGGATACTAAGTTGGAGTGAGACACCATGTGGAGGAGGTTAGGCACCAGTCTTATGTGTCTGGTTCAAGAAGCCATCCTGACTATCTAGACAGGTAAGCCTCCAGAGGACTCCAGTTCCAGTAGCAGTCTGACTAACCACATGAGAGACCCCAAGAGAGGATAAGGGCTGGACAGGCTAGGTCCAGTGACTCCACAGAACTTAGAGAGATCATTTTTTTCAGACACTAATTTTAGGTTAACAACAGCACTTGCCTAGGCTTACTCCCTCAGGAAATTCATCTTGAAGATCAAAAAGTTCCCCAAATGCATTAAGGAACTCCAAAACCATCAGAGCATCACCAATTTCAGGAGGTAGTCTAGTTTTCACTGGAGTTGGTTCTGGAAGTTCCTGCAAGATTAAATAATTTATATAATATTTGAATCAAGTACAGGGTAAAGGATAGATATATATATATATCTTTACAGAGTAAAGATATATATCCTTTACAGAGTAAAGGATAGATAGACATATACTCTTTACCTAATAAGAATTATAGAGACTAGTAGTTCTTAACTCTGGATGTTTATCACAATTACCTTTAGAACTTACAAAATTATAGATGTGGTCTTATTCCAATTTAACTAAATCATAGTCTCTAGAGACTGCTTTTCTTCATGACACTAAGAATACAGCTTTTAAACTGAAATGTATTTTTTTAATTGGGTATAACTGAAATATAATCTATTAATTTCAGGTATATATAACATCATGATTCTATTATTTGTATACATTATGAAATGACCACAATAAGAAGTGTGGTTAATAACTATTATCATACATAGTTAAAAAGATTTTTTTTGTGATAAAAACTTTTAATATCTACTCCTTTAACAACTTTCAACTATGCAATATTATTATTAACTGTAGTGATCACACTGTACATTATACCTCCATGACTTTTTTTTTGGACTTTATTTTAAAATGGAAAGTTTGTGACTTTTGACCTCTTTTACCCATACCCCCATACCTGCCTCTGGCAACCACCAACCTGTTTCTGTATCCATGACTCAAGTTTGTTTTGTTCTTTTTTAGATTTCAGTTATGAGTGAGGTTAGTATTTGGTTAGTATTAGTGATGATAGTATTTATCATCTTTCTCTGTTTGACTTTGTCACGTATAATAATACCCTCAAAGGTCTAGCCATATTGTCACAAATGAGGAAGTATTTCTGGATTACATTTTCTAATTAAGAGGAACTTTTAACCTAGATTCTGAGGTTAAGATATTAGATGTGTCAATATTATCTTCAATGTGGTATCTTCTTAGAACATGGAATAGAAGTAACTCACAATCCAGTGACTTATAAATGGCTCCTAATAAACAAAGATGAATGAGCTCAGTTTAGATCGTTTGGTAATTTCTAGAGATAAGCAGAGATCTTTAGCAGAAAAATAAATGAATGCCCGGTCCTAGTGGTTACTGGATTAACAAGGATTACACAAATGACCAATTATCTCCACAAAGCTTGTTATAAAATATTAACAATGCTATTTTAGAACTCTACATAAAGCATTTGTTCAATTGGCTGTTTCCTCTAAGTTAAATATGAAGAAGCCACTATTAAAAAGAAAGGTTTCATTAGCAAAGACACACAGGGTACTGTGTACGTGGTGTGCAAAACATCACATTACATGCTTATACCTTAAGATCATCACATTCCATATCTTCTCTAGGTTACTCCACTGCTTTAAGTATTCTGTATATTTTCGCTTTTCCTCACGTAATTTCTCTCTTTCCTAAAAAAAAGTTTAAAAAAAAAACAACTCGTATATGAAATTTATGACATAGTATTAGCATCACCTGGGAACTTGAAGAAATACAAATACTTAGGTCCCACCCAGACCTATTGAACCAGGTTAGGTTGGGGTCCAGCAACTGATGTTTTAATAAGCCTTTCTGGTGATTTTGATGCAGACTAAAGTGTTAAAATCACTGATCAAACACTGCTGAAATGACAAGTTAAAAATGTCTGACACATAGTAGCTACTGGATAAATACTACTCCAATTACTCTGCCCATAGCAGCTCTCCCCCTACTCAAATCAATTATATTTGAAAATGTAGGTAACAAATTGTTAGAATATTGAAAATAAAATCTTCCCATATATTTTGTAATACATTTGTTGCTTTCAAGATTTATTTCAACCTGAAAAGAGCTAGACAGACACAAAGAAAAGAGCAAGTAAAAGAAATATTATAATACAGGAGACTCCTTTTTTTAAAAGAAGATTTTTATGCATGCATAAAAAGAATAGGGACACAGCCAGATTTGCAGGAGGGCGAAAGGATTCACCAGAGAGAGAGCGGGGACCAGAACAGACAGACTGACGAAATACACTGCTGAGGGGAGCAGCAGGCGAGACAGGAGAGGTCTGCGGCACCATGCAGGTATCTCGCTGGCCAGCCGGGACTGAACCCGTGCTGCAGAGGATGCAGACAGTCTGACAGCGCTGTGCTCAACCACTTGCACCACCAGGGGAGGCCCGGTAGATGCTTCTTTTAATGTAGGCCATTTCTCTTGCTAATTTGACCTTTGAAACCCTACTATTTGGTTCTGGTATTTGAAACTGCAAGATTAATAGTGATACCAAAAGTCTCTTGTGAAGCACAAGGTTAAAAAAAATTAAATTATTTCTAATAAATACTATCAATACTATTCTCTTCCTTGGAATTTAGGAACACAGATGTACATTTATCAAATTTTCAACATAGAAAAGAATGACTAGATATGGAACTTACTGTGTTTTTAGTAGTAAGCTGAAATATGTCGTCTCCGCTCTGCAAAAATAATTCTTGTAGGAAATAAGATGGGTTTACCCATTCACTGTTGCCAAGAATGTAAAAAAGCTCATGTTTGGCAACAAATACCTATGTATGTCAGAAAGTATTCATATTTTAAACATTATTATAAATATGAAGAAATATTTATAATAGTGTTAAACAAAATATACAAAAGCATGAATGCTGCAGTCTCTTTTTTTTAGGCCCAGATAAGTACAAATTAATCAAAGTATTAGCAATGCTATCTGTAAATATTACCATGCAGATTACAAGTGGTTTTTTTGCTTTCTACATTTTCTGGAGCAAACATGTATTAGACACCCCACCTCAATGGTCTGTTTGAAACAACTTAAGGAAATCATTAAGAAACATATAAAATAGCAGAACAAGATTTCTCTTATTTCTTTCCTGATGATCCACCCATGTTTATCTTCCATCCAACTAATGGAAGAAGAGGGGGCCAAATGAATATTCTTAGTCAGCTAAGTACTGTGATCACCCAAGGTTAATTGTTACTACCTAAAACAATGACATGACTAACTGTGGAGGAAACCAGTTACAGAATTCTCGAAGAATTACCTACCACCAAAGATTATAATCAAAGATTTGCTCTTTGAAATCTGTCAAAATCTGTGAAATACCCTATTACCAGAGATACATTAATTCTTCAAGGAGCAATACTTGTTAGTAATAGCCTTTTTAAAAAAATATGTATTTTTTCGTAGAAGAACTGGGGTATAGGCCAGAGGTGCCCGGGGCAGTGTTGGGGGGGGGGATTAGGGGATTAATCAGACAGAGAGGGGCAGAAGAGGCAGAGCTACTGAAATCCTGCTAAGGGGAGAGGAAGGCAAGACAGGAGAATCGAACTCAGGTGGTAGTGGTGACAGCACTGAGACTTAACCCCTAGGCCACCAGGGAGGCCTCATTGTTAGTAATAGACTTAATTGTATTTTTCGAATTATACATTCTACGATTGAAGGTTTTATATATACCATCTTCCAAAAAAAAAAAATATGCAAGTAATGAAGAAAATCACTAAAATTGAACATTAAAATAAGTTTTAAGTGAGGTATAAAGGCATGTGTGTGTGTGTGTTGAACTAAATAGGCATTCACTGAATTTTCCAAAGCAAAAGGCAAATAAAGCAACATCGATCACTAGTGCTTACCAGAAACTACATATATGAGTCAAAGTGGCAAAAGCATATGAAAATTAAGCATGAATTTAAATATGTAAAGTACTATATGTGGGGAGAATATAGCCAATATACTTGAATACCTTTTCTCTTTCTATTTTTAGCCTCTCTTTTTCTTCTTTCTTTTTCAGTCTTTCTTCTTCAACAATTTTCTTCAATTCTTCCTTCTTTTTCTCTTTATCTTCCTTTTCTTTTTTCTTTGCTTCTAGGGCATCTGCTTTTTCTCGTTTTAATTTAGCCTTTTCAAAAGCTGTGGAGAAAGTCAAATTTAGCGTTGTACACAGACAGAAAATAACACATTTTTTAATATAACAAAAGAAACAATTTAAGGTTAAGTGGGATCAGTAGAGATTCAAAGGGGTTATGAATTACTGGAACCATCAAAATTAAAATGGAAAAGCAGGGCCTCCCCGGTGGCGCAGCGGTTGAGCGCTGGGTTGCGAAGCTGCCCGCGGCCTCTGCGGCGCCGGTTCGATCCCCGGCTGCTCCCCGGCCACCGGAGGAGGGTCCCACATGGCGCGCAGACCTCTCCTGCTGCCCGCTGCTCCCCTCAGCAGTGTACTTCGGTCCTTCTGCCTGCTCTGCTCCCCGCTCTGGCTCTGGTGAATTCTCTCACCCTCCCGCGCTTCTGACTGTACCCAGTGCATGTATAACCAAACAAACAAACCAGCAAACAAATAAATAAAGCATGCCTCTATAAAAAAAAAAAAAAAAAAATAAAAAAAAAAAAAAATAAAATGGAAAAGCAAGTGGCTGGGTTTAAGACAAACTATTGTACTGAGACAAACACATACCTTCCTTTGAATGCCCTGCTACTTACTCACTCTAGACCAGAGACCAGCAGCAAGGAGTTACCTTGCTTGAATTGAAGACTCTCTTTTCCCACCTAGAGCTACAAATCTAGAGTCTTCATTTATTAAGATCTCAAATGATTCATTATGGATTGTCAACTTGGGAAACAATGTTTTATAAGGTAGTGTGAATTTAAAAAATAAAAAAGGTCCAAAACAGTTGTAAGCCCTAACAATTCTAACCTGTGTTTAATTAGCATTTCACCAGTTTAACGGGGAATAGGATATGCCTTAAAATATTGCTTTAAAAGAGATGAACAGAAGTCTCACTGATAAAAATTGACAGCTGAGGGCCTCCCTGGTGGCAGGCGCAGCGGTTGAGCGCTGGGATGCGAGGCTGCCCACAGCCTCTGCAGCGCCAGTTCGATCCCCAGCGAGGGTCCCACAAAAAAAAAAAAAAAAAAAAAAATTGACAGCTGAGATAAAAAAACCTATGCTTAAAAAACCACACACAAACACAAGAAATATGCCATTTTAGACCCCCTCTCCCCCCGCCAGCCCTGGCACAGAGAAATATTCTTTTTATACTGAAATAGTTTTTTTTGGAGACTGTTAAAACTTACCCAGTGACTTCATTTCTTCTTGTTTCAAAAGTTTGTCTCTTTCTTTAGTAGCTTTATTCCTATAACCAGCAATAGTCTGTTTAATAGCAACACTGTCATCCTGAAAATACAAACCAAGAAACTAAAGTTATAGAACCATAAATTTTACAAACCGAGTCTGTCTTGTTCTTACAGTAAGAATAAAAAAATTAAGTACTCATCAATTATACTTCCTTTGTAATAAAACAAGGTTTTATTCTAAAGCATAACTGAACTTTTAAAAACTCTAACCATAGGACTATAGAGAATATGAGTTAATTCTCTAGCCCCGCAATTTAGTACAAAAGCCTCCCAGGAAAAAAACTGGTAGTATATAAAGAGAAACTTTAAGTATTGGAAAATTAAAACAGTCTTGCAGGGTACATCAAATATGAAAGAGGCAGAGAAAAGACATGTCAGAAACATTCTTGTGGCCAACATTAAACAGTGTGAAACATTTATTTTTACTTTATTTCTCTTGAGAATAATATCTCTAATCAGCTTAATGTGACACTCTTATTTTATTATCTTTTAAATGTTCTTTAATGTTCCATAATTTACACCCTGCTCAACATTTTAGTAACCGCTTAAATGCTTGCTTCCATTTTGGCATAATACCCTGTGATATGAGAGCCATCTTAATTCACACCTAAACTTCTACAAGGTCATTGCTGAGCTGTTACTATAACACAGATTACATAAATGTGGTGTGTGTGAAAGAATGTGTTCCTTACCACAAGCTACAAGGGTGAGGGGAGTCAAACACTGTTCTTGATTTTGAATAGCTTTACTAAGGGCTATGATGTGGTTTTTGTCTATTCTCTACTTACCTGACTAATAGATACTCGTTTAGGGGGTCTCCCTCTTCTTCTGTTAGTTGGACTGAAGATAAATGTGGGTGGATCATCAGGAAAGAAATAAGAAAAGTCTTGTTCTGCTATTTTATATGTTGAAAGAGATGAAGCCTTTATAAAAAAAGACAAAGGGGAAAATACTAGCATATTAATAAACCATATATATAGGTATGCTCTATTATAGCATTATGACCTCCATCTAAAAAACAGATCAAAGATCTCAGAATTTCATGTGTTATATGTTGTAATATACATTTCCACTAGCTTAACTGATCCTTTTAAAAACTATATAATTAGCATTACCAGACAGAAAACCACAAGTCAAAGGATTACTTCATAAAATACCCACAAATGTTTCAATAGTTTCTTGAATTGTCAATCTATTTCAAAATCACATTTATAATGATAATCCTTTTTGACTAATTTCACAAGATTTTCTATGTAAATAAATAATCCAAATATTTAACATTAAAAATTGACAGTAATCCAATACATTTTCTTAATGATTTCCTTAATGCTGAACATTTAGACTCCCCCCCCTCCCAATTTAGGTGACAACTTGTATCAAACTTCAAGAATGGCCTGAATAAAAGCAGAAAAACTGACAAATTATCATAGAGTTTCAACTCAGAATTAAATTGAAAGACGTCAAGTTCATTTTACCAGAAGTGGTGTAGTTCTAGGATAACTGCTAAATCCAAAAGACTTCTCCTTTTACTTTGAATTCAGAACTTGTTCAGCTTTTATACATGTCTACTAGACTATTTTTTTAAGATTTATTTTTATTTATGATACAAGAACTGGGGTACAGGACAGAGGTGTGTGGTTGAGAGGATTCACTAGAGACAAAGTGGGGAGAACAGGCAGATCTACTGAAATACACTACTGAGGGGCAGCGGGTGAGAAAGGAGAGGTCTGCCACACCATATGGCACCATATGGCACCATATGGGTTTTCTCCCTGGCTGGCGATCAAAATCATGCTTCAGTGGCTGGTGATAGTTTGATAGCGCTGTGTTTGTAACCCCTGCACCACCAGGGAGGGCCCTATGCATGAATATTTTTAAATCTATGTAAGTTTACATTGTCAAATCAATCTCAACCTTGGTAGTTCTTTTCTATTTCTCCTCAAATACTTCAGTATGCATAAAGTTAAGACTTGTTTCTTTTTGAAGTTAGATCTAACTTAATTTTTCCAAATAATTAACCAAGTGTCTCAGTTTCATTTATCAAATAATCTACCTTAGTCTCTAGAGATCTGAAGTGCTACTTTTCCCACAGAGTAAACTCACATACACATATTTCTTTTCTTTTGATAAAACACATATAATGAAATGCACAAACCTTAAGCATACAGCAGTGGATTTCTGATACATGCATATATCTCTAACTCATGTTATGATTTTTTAACTTACGGTTTCTCTTTTCCAATGTGAGTCAAATGTTTTCTCATTTTTAAAAATTAGGGGTTTTTTTAGGGGGGAGCTTATGATCTGTAGTAAAGGACTATGGGTGTTTTGGTGGTGGGTGTGGTATTAGCTATTTTCTAGCTATTTTCTCATCTATTTCTAGCTATTTTGTCATCAGATGACATACATCTGAGAAGCTTCTCAGATCCCTATTCCTTTAAATCTTATATAGGATTATAACCAATGTTACCACAACAAATAAGAAAAAGAAAATGGAAAAGAAAAAAATTAGTTTGTTTACCATTTAACTTTTTATTTAGCGTACAATGTGAGGTTTCTAAACCTTAAGAATAAAATATAATCTTAGTATTGGTTTCTGATTAAGTAGCATTCTCCCATCCGGTAGGATCTATTTTAGCGTTGTTTTTTGAATCTAGATGCCCAACATCCGTGACTTTTCTTTTTCCAAGTTTTCCATCTATTCTCACCTGTTCTGGTTGATCTTTTACATAAAGAAAAAAGGTGGTAGTACTGAGTGACATGGTAATTTTAACAATTGTAAAATACAGTATGTACTTAAATATATATAAAGAAAAAGTACTAGGGCCTCCCTGGTGGCGCAAGGGGTTAAGCACATTACTATGAAGATATCCGCAGCCTCTGCAGCACAAATTCGATCCCCAGCCAGGGAGTTACCCACATGGCATAGCAGACCTCACCTGTCTTGCCCGCTGCTCCCCTCAGAAGTGTATTTCAGTCAATCTGCCCGTTCTGTTCCCCACTCTGTCTCTGGTGAATCCTCTCACCCCCTGCACCTCTGGCCTATACCCCAGTTCTTGTATGCATAAATAAATAAATCTTAAAAAAAAAAGTACTAAAAAATGGCTCCAGATAAAAAGGGAGCTATTTTCAGCCATCTTTGTTTTTTGTTTTGTTTTTACAGGAAGGAAAGTTATCCACTTTAGGTTTACTTCCCAATTTTTTTTCCTGTAATTTTTACTGAGGTGACATTAGTTTACAACACTGTTTATGATATAGGGGAACATGTTCACACCTCTTCAGATGTATGTTGCCAAACTCACAATCAAAAGCAATTTTCAATCATCTTTGAAACATTTCTGCCATGTCACAACTATATAACACTAGTTATTTTCTCATTTTTTCCTTTTTCCCAACAATAATGTCACTGTTCTGAATACCTTAATTTTAATGATTCCATCTTGTGGTTCACAGTGTTGCTTCAGAAAAAGCTTTAGTTTATCACGAGAAAATAGATGTTTTCTCCGGCTATAGGGGAAGGAGGAAGAGAAAGAGGAACGTGTTAGTTTCAGAGACTTCAATTCAAAATCCACCACCTCTGTATATCTACAACCAGAATTTCAAACCTAGGAAGAGAAGGATATTTCATTTTCCAATAGTATTTGTGAGAACATTATACAGAAGTATTTATGTAGAGTGTTATATGACCTATTTGTGACTTTATTTTGAATATTTGTTTTTGTTTTTGTGTAGAAGAACTGGGGATATAGGCCAGAGGTGCGGCGGGTGAGAGGATTCATCAGAGACATAGTGGGGAGCAGAACAGGTAGATCCACTGAAATACACTGCTGAGAGATGCAGCGGGTGAGAGAGGAGAGGTCTGCTGTGCCACGTGGGTCAGCTCCCTGGCTGGGGATCAAACTCAGGTCACAGAGGTGATGAAGCTAAGACCTAACCCCTCGGCCACCAAGGAGGCCCAAGTAACTCTATTATAAATGTTCATCACAAAACTAGTACATGCATTTGATGCTTAGAAACCAATCAAAAATCAAATAAACTCAAGAAAAATAAACTATAGTGAGTAAACCATACCTTATAAAATTAGATGATCATTCAAGCTAGCATCATTCTTAATAATCTTTAAAAAACTAGAATCAGTAGACTATATATACACTTAAATCAGCACTCAGAGTTATATCAAGATTCTAAGCATATAATATTTTAAATTCCCCTTTGCCACCAAATTCAAAAACAGCAAAAACAAATATCATCACAAAAAACAAAAACAGTAAACACCCCACAAATTAATTTCAGGTCATGCAAGATTCTGAAAAAAAGTAAATGTTTTAAGACAGTTCTATGTGTTTCTTTCAAGAAAAAGCCAAGGCAAAAGTGTGTGGGAGTGAATAAATATAGACATTTTAACATAATCGCCCTCCCCCAAAAGCATGTATTTTTTCTAGACCATACAAAAAATTATATGAAAGGGGTCTAGTTTTTACTACTATATCCCAGTACCATACGGTAGCTGACAAAGAGAAGGTAATTATCTGCTGACTACTGAATATATATTTGTGTTCAAGAACTATACTATGCTATGTGACTTCTACCAGCCACAAGTTTTTATAAATAAAATAAAAAGTTCAGTTTCTCATTATTCCATGTTTCAACTTATCAACAGTGATTATGTGGCTACCATATTATATACATTGCCCATGTAGTATTTTCATAATCACAAAAAGTTTTTTTGTCATTATTATTCTATCATATCAAATCTTCCTCATGGGAATATTATCATCTCTTTATTACAGGAATTGTACTATCTTTTGATACTAATAAGGAGTTACTAATCACTTAAGTGTTCTACCACCAAATATTACTTTTTACCTTACAATTCTTCAGTTTTCCAATTAAGAAGGAAATAAGATTGCAAGCAAGATCTAGTAGAATTATATTTAAAGTTTTAGTCAAAAGGTAAATAGAAAAATGAAAAGTATGAAACAGAATTACAGTGTATAAAGAACACATCTTGAATTTAAGGCCAAAAAGGTCAAAACTTTACTATGAATAAGGAAAAAATTGGTAGTCTCAAGTATGCTAATTAGTCCATAAACAGAACAAATTCAAAGGTTTAAATAATCCATGAGCATTATCTTGGAAATATTTTTCAATATGTATTTTTCAAAATATTTTTCAATAAATATTTTTCAATATGTATTTCAATAAATATTTTTCAATATTTTTCAATAAAATGTAGAATGCTTCAGAGATCCTAAATTAATGATGGGACCCTCCCCACCCGCCCCCCAAAAAAACCAGCCAAACAGAGAACTATATACAACGCTGGGCACAGTGGCACACACTTGTAGTCCCAGCTACCTGGAAGGTTTAACCAGGATTGCTTGCGCCCAGGAGTTGTGTGGCTATAGTGCGGTATGCTGACCAGGTGTCTGCACTAAGTTTAGCATCAATATGGTGACCTCCCAGGGACAGAGGACCACCAGGCTACCTAAGGAGGGGTGAACCAGTGCAGGTCGGAAAAGGAGCAGGTCAAAAAACTACATACAGCTATAACAGTTACAGAATATATCCTGTTCAGAATTCACTTAACATATATGCTATTATCATTCTTCTTTGGGCTTATATGAGTATATATGGGGCAACAAGGATAAAAGAATAAGTAAAATTATTTTATATCAAGTAGAAGGTAAGAAAAAGTTCTACATGGCAAGCTGATAGTTAGCTAATGTCTGCTTGCTTTCAAATGACAATAATAGGGATTTTCCTAAGATACAGTTACGTAACTAAAAGCCAGCCCTTAAAAATTGGTATTTACTACTCACAATCTCTCTTTTTCAATTGACCTCAAACAGGAATTTTTAAAGATACTAATTTTTTATTTTTATGTTTTTAAGAGTAGAGAAGGGGCCTCCCTGGTGGTGCAAGAGGTTAAGATGAAGCACTATGAAGCTATCCGTAGCCACTGCAGCACGAGTTCAATCCCCAGCCAGGGAGGCGACACATATGGCGCAGCAGACCTCTTTTGTTTCATCCGCTGCTCCCCTTAGCAGTGTATTTCTGTAGATCTGTCTGTTCTGCTCCCCGCTCTGTCTCTGGTGAATCCTTCACCCCCTGAATCTCTGGCCTGTACCCCAGCTCTTATATGCATAAATAAATCTTTAAAAAAAAAAGAGTGGAGAGACTGTTCAGATATTGGTGTCTAAGGAATGAAATATTATAAATGTGTTCTGTATTGTAAGCAACCCCAGATTTCTCAACTTTGAACACCAAGTTTTCTCATGAGATGTACTTCATAAATTGAATCCTGCTTAAATCTTCAGATGTAAATACAATTTGTGGTTTGTTACTAAACTAAAAAAAGATTCAGGGAGTCTATTAGGATTCATTTTATGAGCAAATAAATGTACCCTTATTTCAAAAAGGGAAGCAAGCACTTGCAACACTACCTATTTATTATACCAGATCTTCCTAATCTAATTATTCTATGTTAAACCAGCAAAGAGAAGTTACCTAATCTTACCTGATTTGTGTTGCTTTAACAATAGTACACTCATACAATTCTTTTCTAGTGGGTTGCACCTTGTACTTGAATAATAAAGGATCAATTGTATTTTTTTTCTTCCTAAAAAAGAGCAAAGACACAAATCAGTTAATAATTTGTATAGAAACATGAGATTTAAATGGAAATCTAGTTTCTAAGAACATAAACAGATTTTAACGTATTTATATTTTATCTAGGATTTTATAAGTTACTGTAATACCCATCACCACCATTCTACTATCTAAAATGGTACAAAGTACTATTATATGTTCATGGGTACTTTACACAGTCAATATATATTCCTTGGGTGAAGAAATTAACTAGAGATGAGTAAGCACAGAGCACCCAGTTTAGGTTAAAGAAACAAATAGTTCTTGGATTTGCTTTCAAATTTTCTTCTTCATAGCTATGTAACTCCAGAGTAAAAGTGGAGACAATGTAGCTTATCCATGTTAAGAATTAGCAGATGTGGTATATATACACAATGGAATACTACTCAGCAATCAAAAAAGATAAACTCATGCAATTTGCAGCAACATGGATGGAGCTAGAAGGAATTATGCTTAGTGAAATAAGTCAGAAGGAAAATGCAAAATATTGGATGGTTTCACTTATAGGAGGAGTACAGGGGAACCAAATAAGACATCAGGGGAAAAAATAATAATACAAAACACAACACAACATAACAAAAAAGACCCAGACAATTATAAGCCAGAGACATCCTGCAGCGGAGGGAGAGGGAGAGGGATCAGAGAGAGGGAGGGAGGGAGCAGCACAGGGGACTGAGGTGATGGTGCAAGGGTGCATTGCTGAAGGAAATTCTATGGGAACTAAGAGGGGGAGGGGGGAAGCAAACATTGTTTAAAAATGAACAATGGGGCCTCCCTGGTGGTGCAAGGGGTTAAGCACAGCTCTATGAGCTATCCGTAGCCTCTGCAGCATGAGTTCGACCCCTGGCCAGGTAGCTACTCACATGGCGCAGCAGACCTCTCCTGACTCGCCTGCTGCTCCCCTCGGCAGTGTATTTCAGTCAGTCTGCCTGTTCTGTTCCCCACTCTGTCTCTGGTGAATCCTCTCAGACCCCCCCACACCTCTGACCTGTACCCCAGTTCTTGTATGCATAAATAAATCTTTAAAAGAAATGAACAATGATGTAAAAAATATATAAAATACTTAAAAAATAAAACAGAGAACCTCAACAGTTAAAAAAAAAGAATTAGCAGAGGTTACACATTTTATCCCATCTCCCAAATTCTTATCTTTTCTTTCCTTTGAGGGTATATTTATTCATTTGTCATCCATTCATCCACCCATCCATCCAATAAGCAGTTAAGAGCCTACAATGGGTCAAATACTAAACTACCACCATATAACCCAAGAACTGTCACCAAAGTCCCTTCTGCTCTTCCCTCCCTGTTTTAACCCCTCTCCTTTTCCCTCCCCTGCTGTCTGCCTTAGATCTACAGTTTGCCTGCAAGTTTTGTCTTTTTTTTTTTGACCCTTTGTTTGGTTTCCCTATATTCCCCCTATGAGTGAAACCATCCTATATTTTTTCTTTTTCATTCTGACTTATTTCATTGAGCATAAGCCCTTCTACCTCCATTCATGTTGCTATGAATAGCATAAGTTTACCTTTCTGATTGCTGAATCGTATTCCATTGTGTATATATGCCACATTCTTCTTGATTCATTCATATATTTGGGGGCCTTGAGGCTGTTTCCCTATCTTAGGTATTAGTGAATAGTGCTGCAATAAATATAGGAGTAAAAGTTTCCTTTCAAATGAATGTTTTTGTGTCTTGTGGTAAATTCCTAGGTGTGGAATTGCTGCTAAACCCATTCTTAGTGGGCAAACATAAGAGATGAGTAAAGAAAAGAACAATGAGAGCAGACAGATGATACATGTTATCATTCTCAGAAGACTAATAGATTAAACTCTAAATCTCTTTACTTCAATTTTATATGCTACAAATTAAATTATATTCTCTAAAATGTAGCTTAGACTTTTATCAAGGGCTATAAATAAGAGCTAAGAAGCGAATTTTTAAAATAAAAATTTGCTTTAGATACACTGAATATCTGAATAAAACATAATTCTAAATTTAATCTTTAAACTTGCATATGTAAAGCGAAACATATACAAAGTATCCAATAGTCATGATTATAAAAATTAGCCTCATCTCAATCTCAATTACACTTAGATTGGTGTAATCAAAGGCTCTGTCATAAACCTCAGGGTAAATAACTGAGAAAAATGATTTCATAATGTTACTCTAGAAACCAAGTCTGGCAAAGACATCATAAAGTGTTCTGCAAGAATGTTAGTGCTAAGACACTAAAATGTCCAGGGCTACCACATACACATGAAATAGGCTTTCCGATGCGAAGGAAAAGCAACAATTTTCTTAGTCTTTTTTAGAAGCTTAGTGTAAGAAACACATTTAAAGTGTTATTTTCAATCCTCGAAATAAATAAGTGGTCAGTTTCCTAAAACCTTGATCACTGTCCATCAACAAAAGCTGACCTACAAAATTAATTATGCAGTTACTGCTTTGTTCAGTCAGACTCCACAGCTGATGCCCACACTGATAAACAAGTAATATACTATCCTGAGGAAATAAATGTAAATTTATTTAAAAAATCAAGTCTTCAATTTCCTACTTTTACTGCTATGGTATTTGGCTTTGAAAAAAAGTGAATAAGCTCCCTCAAATGCATCAAAATAGTCAATTTATAAAACTCTGATGGATCAGAATATTTAAAGAATTATAATTAAAGAAGTCATTAAACAACCTAAATTTAAAAACTGGTACAGGACTTATATCAGGACCAATAAAATAAATACATCAAAAGATGCTCAACATCAGTGGTCATTAGGGAAATGCAAGTCAAAAGTACAATGAGATACCACTTCTCATAGGCTATAATCAAAAAAACAAACAAAAAAACAAAAAATGGTGAGCATGTGACAAATTAGTATGAATATAAAATGGTACAGTTGCTGTAAAAAGCAGTTTTGCAGTTTCTTAAAAAGTTAACCATAGGGCCTCCCTGGTGGCACAAGGGGTTAAGCACTGCACTATGAAACAATTCACAGCCTCTGCAGCATGAGTTCGATCCCCTGCTGGGCCAGGGAGCAACCCGCATGGTGCAGCAGACCTCTCCTGTCTCGCCTGCTGCTCCCCTCAGCAGTGTATTTCAGTCAGTATGCCTGTTCTGTTCCCCACTCCATCTCTGGTGGATCCTCTTATCCCCTGTTATCTCTGCCTTGTAACCGGGCTCTTGTAAACACAAATACATCTTAAAAAAAAAGAAGTTAACCATAGAATTATATGGCCCAGCAATTCCATTCCTAGATCTATAGAAATTTCCTGGGTATAAATAAATAAAATAAATCTTTGAAAAAAAAAAAAAAACCGAACAATTTAAATAATAAAAAAAAAGAAGTATCTGTGGACCTAGAGTCAGAAATCAGATTCAAGATAACAGGGGATGGAGGAAAAGGGAATGGAGAACTATCACTTAATGGTTACAGAGTTTCTGTTTGGGGTAATAAAAGTTTTTTTCCCACTCTGTCTCTGGTGAATCCTCTCACTCCCTACACCTCTGGCCTGTAACCCCAGTTCTTGTATGCAGAAATAAATCTTTAAAAAAAAAAAACAAAACAAAACTGGTGATCATTTTAAGGACCTAGGCTTAATTCTAAATGTGCTATTCTTTTTTTTTTATAAAGATTTATTTCTGCATACAAGAACTGGGGTACAGGCCGGGGGGGGCGGTGAGAGGATTCAGAGACAGAGTGGGGAACAGAACAGGCAGATTAACTGAAATACACTGCTGAGGGGAGCAGTGAGAGAGTCAGGAGAGGCCTGCTGCGCTATGTGGGTCACCTTCCTGGCCAGGAATTGAACTCATGCTGCAGTGGCTGCCGACGGCTTTATAGTGCTGCGCCCTAACCTCTTGCGCCACCAGGGAGGCCCCCTAAATGTGTAATTCTTATAGATTTTTTTTTTCCTTCTGGTTATTAATTCTTACAGATATTATGAAATTAATGATGCTGGGAAATTTTTCTTATTCTGAACTTCTATTTCTCAATGTACAGAATATAATTATCCTTACAGAATGTTCTGAGGAATAAGACAACATATGCTTTTATATAGTTTAAACTCACGGAAAATGGCCAATATTTGTTCCCTTCCCCTTCCTTCAATCCTCCTAACGGAAACATGAGAAAATCCAGATTATGCTTTATAGGCAAAGAGGAATCTTGAAGTAAATTTCTTATTCATTTAAATTAGGGAATTAATAGGGCCTCCCCGGTGATGCAGCAGGGTGAGCGCACCACTGTGATGCTGTCTGCAGCCTCTGCAGCTCTGGGTCAATTCCCCCAGCCAGAGAGATTTCCACATGGCAGGGCAGACCTTTCCTGTCTCGCCCGCTGCTCCCCTCAGCAGTGTATTTCTTCGTCATTCTGCCTGTTCTGCTCCCTGCTCTGTCTCTGGTGAATTCTCTCACCCTCCCGTGCCTCTGGCCTGTACCCCAGTGCTTGTATAAATAAATAAATCTTTAAAAAAAAAGTTAAATTAGGGAATTAATAGAAAAAACTCTGTAACAGAGTAAAGATCCAAAGATGACTATGCTTCATCTTTCCTGGAACCTCAGGATATAACAATAGCAATCTACAAACTAGACATTTTATGATGCTGACATATAATGAAGGTTCAGATTTTTGTAAGAATCACAAAAGTTACAAATAAGTGCAAATAAAGTAACTGATCAGCTTACTCACTTTTCCTATACTAAGGGTCTATCTCAAGTACCTATATTCAAGGGATGAGGCAGTTTATTTAGGCAGGAAATTATGATTGATTGACTCTCATGGCAAATTTTGATGAGTTTGTTGTAAGTGGCACACACAGAAGTCACCAATGAAATTTTGCTGTAAATGCTACATATGATAGGCAAAATGTTTACTATTACAATTCTGAATTAATCTGCTTTGTATTCAGGGTAACAAATTAGCCACAACATATACAAGCAGCTCATACTCAAATTTTAAAAAGTATATACTAGAATGCTAAACTTAACAATTTTGACATTCCTCATTTCAAAGCGCTTCACAATACCTAAATGAATTTAAAAAGTATATTAAAACTTTCTACAAAATAGCCTTAAATGATAAATCATTTTAAAATTAAAAAAAACATAAATGCTTATATTCTAACATTTATTAAAATATTTTACATATAATCTGTATTTAATCCTTCAAGATTTGCATAGTCAAACTCCATTTAAGAGTTATAGTCTATGATACAGTCAAAATAAAACACAGGAACTGTCAGAATTACTGAAGGACATACATTCACAACCACAATATCCAACTAATTTTGCACCCCAAACCCTGTATTCAATGAGAGACTGATTAGTTTTTCTGTTTAATGATAGCAATTCAAGAAAAAATGATATATATCAAAAGCCTTATAATAGGTCCAGTAATGTTTATTTCACTCCCCTAAAAATAATTTTATTCTGCAAGGCAATGTACTAGCTAGATGACGTTGGCAAAGTGAATTAACTTCTGTAAGGATCAGTTTCTTTTTGTTAAATAAGAGTAACAACACTCTTCTAGGAATGGAAAATGTGCATAAAAGCACTGAGCACAGTGCCTGGCCACAATTAATGCTCATATCCTAGTTATAGCTACAATCAGACAAAAAGACAACTTAAACTACAAGGTTCTAAACTACAAGGTTGATAGTTACAGGCCAGGAGCAAGGGCTTTAGTTAAAGAAGTAGTTAAGAGAAGGCTCAGATTTCTTATTTGAATATTATGGTACTGTTGACTGAAAACAGAAAAAGACCAAGACAAGTTGGAGAAAGCACTTTTAACTGAGATGCTTAACAGGCAAGAGAGAACAAAATAGAACAGCAAAGATTTAGACAGCTGTTGTGGAGAACAGTTGTGGGAACTGGGCTACATACATAAAAGGAATTTTAATTGGTTGAGGATTCAGTGGAGATTTTAAACTTACCTGTAGACAATATCAATCTACATATGTTTGTGATTTTTCTCCAAAGGCACTTAGCTGACAAAGGTTATCAACTAACTGAATTTCAGAAGGTTACAGTTTCTTTACCATAAGCACCATAAGGTGGTTAAGTATAATAATTAAGATACAGAATAAATTTCCCAAGTAAAAAAAAGGTGAATGAGGAGAGTTCCAAATGTTCTTAAAACAGTTGATTAAAGTTAACAGGGTAATGGGCCTCCCCGGTGGCGCAGCAGTTGAGCGCTGGGTTGCGAAGCTGCCCACGGCCTCTGTGGCACCGGTTCGATCCCCAGATGCTCCCCAGCCACCGGAGGAGGGTCCCACATGGCGCGCAGACCTCTCCTGCCGCCCGCTGCTCCCCTCAGCAGTGTACTTTGGTCCTTCTGCCTGCTCTGCTCCCCGCTCTGGCTCTGGTGAATTCTCTCACCCTCCCGCACTTCTGACTGTACCCAGTGCTTGTATAAACAAAACAAATAAATAAATAAAACATGCCTCTATTTAAAAAAAAAAAAAAGTTAACAGGGTAAGCTTCAATTTCGCAAATTCCAACTTGTGTTGCTAAATCACATGTTTAAATGGGTACTATACTGTAGTAAAACCAGAAAGAAAGAAGAGAATAAAGAACTATTATTTTGATGGGGTATTATTAGCCAATCTGATAAACACTTTAAAAATTAATAAAAATCACTTACCCGTTTTGAAAAGAACTGTTTTGTGTTTCTGAATCATCACTATCACTAATGATAATAGTTTCTCCATCTACATTGCTGACATGTCCATTAGCAAAACCATTTTGATGATGTGATGGAGGAAGGACCTCCAAAATCCTACACTGTAATCTGAAAGAAAATGATACATTTTAAAATGAAAACCATTCAATATTTTATAGCCAAACATTTCAGAACAATCTATTTTGAAATAAAAACTATCTTGTTTTATAGAAACTGGCTGACTGATATAGCAAAGTGAATCATGAAGAAAATCTGTTCATCCAATTTAAGTAAATGCTAGCTACAATTTTAAAATACAAAATTAGGGCCTCCCCGGTGGCGCAGCGGTTGAGCGCTGGGTTGCGAAGCTGCGCGCGGCCTCTACGGCGCCGGTTCGATCCCCGGCTGCTCCCCGGCCACCAGAGGAGGGTCCCACATGGCGCGCAGACCTCTCCTGCCGCCCGCTGCTCCCCTCAGCAGTGTACTTCGGTCCTTCTGCCTGCTCTGCTCCCCGCTCTGGCTCTGGTGAATTCTCTCGCCCTCCCGCGCTTCTGACTGTACCCAGTGCATGTATAAACAAAACAAACAAACAAACCAGCAAACAAATAAATAAAGCATGCCTCTATAAAAAAAAAAAAAAAAAAAAAAAAAAAAAAGTTAAAAAAAAAAAAAAATAAAATACAAAATTATTTTAAAGGTCAATTTATCAATACTCTTAGCAATTATATATGTTGCTATTTAGAAAATCAGATACTAGCATAATATCTCATACAGATTAGGCTTTTCAGTCTTTCTAAGCATCCAATAATTTTAATTCTGAAATGCTAATGATCATAACCTTGTTCATGCTCACTGTAACGTCTGCTATGATTTCTGATCTCTGGAAAGTTTCCTGGTCACTAATATCCGTATTAAAGATTCCCTTACCTCTGTCCATTTTACTTGGATTTTATAGAGTGCCATTTCAAATTCATTTACCATAACTGAAACATAACTCAATCCCCTTTTTATTGCACTTATTTTCAATGTTAGGAAAAAACGCATTATTTTGTCCACACTATCTTTTCTCCCCAAATTTCATTATTTTCTGCTTTGAAACCATGAGTCTACTAGGAATTCATGGTTAGAAACTCACTATTATGGCCGAAATAATTTTCCCCTCTCTACAGCATCTTAATTTTTCTCTGATTATATTTATTGAAGTAAAGTTGGTGTACATTACTGGGGTAACCGGTTGAAAACTCTACAAATGCATGTTTTCACACCACAAAAAAAAGCCCCATTAATCTTCCACAATAGTCCACTCCTACTTCCACTGGTCCCACCATTCCTTTCTTGACAGTTCCAGAGATTTCTCTAACTTTTTCCTTGTTCCTCAAAGCTTTAGTCCCAACCCTTTAGTATAAGAAAACGAGAAAGATCCTGACTTAGGTTCCTTGATTTCCTTAACATCAAATGTTCTTATCTTTCATAACTGTTCATATTCTTACACTGGAAGATTCTCTTACATCTCTTCCTCTTCTTATTTTGTTTCGTCACTTTTCTACTCCTGTGTATCTTCAGTCTTCTTCTGATAAGACATACACTATTCACTATTCTGGAAAGCTTATATCCCTTCTCCAGCTTTCTAGATAGACCAGGGCTTGAGAAGACCTGTGAATAATCCCTAAGAAAAGAATGTACAGCACTGGAGAGCAGGCTATAAATTGAGGGAAGAGTGACCATCTTTTGCCATCTCACTTTGTAAATCCAGTAAGGGTCTGCGTAAGCCACATTTGATTTCAAGAAAAATGCTAGTACAATTTTTAGAAATGTCTCCTTATACAGAAACGTTTTGTCAAGAAGCAAATGGAGGGCCTCCCGGGGGCCCAGCGGGTTGAGCGCAGAGCTATGGAGCTGTCTGCAGTCTCTGCAGTGCGGGTTTGATTCCCAGCCTGCCAGGGAGATGCCCACGTGGCATGGCAGACTTCTCCTGTCTCACCCGTTGCTCCCCTCAGCAGTGTATTTCAGTCGATTTGCCTTTTCTGCTCCCCGCTCTGTCTCTGGTGAATTCACTCACCCTCCCACACCTCTAGCCTGTACCCCAGTTCTTGTATAAATAAATAAATCTTAAAAAATAAAAAAGGCAAAAGGAAAGTCAAGTAAAGATAACTTGCATCTTTCCCTGCCCTGTATGTATTTTCTTAAATAAATTGATGGTCACTCTTCCCTCAATTTATAGCCTGCTCTCCAGTGTTGTACATTCTTTTCTTAGTGCTTATTCACAGGTCTTCTCAAGCCTTAAAAAAACCATTTCATCTATTCACATATCCCCACTCAATGACGTCTTCTCTCCCTCCATTTACTGTTAGGTGGCTCAAATATGTGGTTAACATAGTTTTTCTGCTTTCCTACCATTCCTTAAACCCTCCCAATTTTATCATCTTACACAGGAACTGGTTCCAGGAAAAGTCACAGCGATATACTAATTCAAGAGTCTTGCCCCAGTCTTTACCTCTTGCAAACTTTTACTGCCCTCTTTCTTTCTTAAAAATCCTATTTCCATGGTCCTATCAATTGATATAGTATGCTTGCAACATTCACTTATATAGCTGAACCCTTTCTCTTTTTCTGCTGGATCCTTGTTCTCCTCCTACTAGCAAAATAGAATTCTTCCAAAGTTCTATTACATGTCTATTAGTAGGTATATACTTTCCCTTAGTGTTTTTATCTCAGCTCTATTTAAGTGACAGGCATCTCTAGCCTCACTCTCAACCTCTGGTAATGCAATCATTAAAAAAAAAAAATCAATTTCAATACACATTTACTTAACCCATGGGTTTTATCTCTATTAAGGGAGTCACAGTAACAAGTTAGAGAAGAATGTAGAACCACTTGGTAAAACAATATGGCAGTTCCTGAAATGATTAAACAGAATTACCATATGACCCAGCAATTCCACAACAATTTATCAGGAGTTAAGTCCTGATAAGTGACAGGTTCGCAAACACTATAAGTAGAAAATGCATTTAATACAATTGATCTACCAAACATCAAAACTTAACCTCGTCTACTTTAAACATGCTCATAATTTAGTCTACAGCTGGGCAAAATCATCTAACACAAAACCTATTTTGCAATAAACTGTTGACTTTTTTTTTTAAAGATTTATTTATTCATTTACACAAGAACCAGGGTACAGGCCAGATGCGTGGTACGGTGAGAGGATTCACCAGAGACAGAGCGGGGAACAGAATAGGCAGACTGATGAAATATACTTCTGAGGGGAGCAGCAGGTGCGACAGGAGAGGTCTGCTGCGCCATGTGGGACCCTCACTGGCTGGCTGGTATTGAACCGTCGCTGCAGAGGCTGTGGGCAGCTTCACAGCGTGGCGCTCAACTGCCTGCGCCACCAGGGGAGGCCCAACTGTTGATTTTCTTATGCATATTTATTGAATACTATACTAAAAGTGAAAAACATATATGATGGGAAGAAAAAATATAAAGCACAATGTATTGTGGTCATATAGTATACAGCTGCTATATAGTATATATGTTGGTCATGTAGTATATAGCAGAGTATTGGTTGTTTAGCCTCATAATCATGCAGCTGACTGTGAGCTGTGGCTCATTATTGTCTCACATGAAAGAGTATCATGTCATATCATCGCTAGTCAAAGGAAAGATCAAAATTCAAAGTACAGTTTCCACTGAGTATGGTTTTTGCACCATCACAAATTGAAAAATCTTCAATGAACTGTCATAAGATGGGGATGTGTCTACACAACAGCCAAAAAAAGTGAAAAAAACCCAAATGTCTGTCAACTGATAATTAAAATGTATATTCATACAAGGAAATATTATCCAGGAAAAAAAATAGGAAGGCAATAGTGACATATGCTACAATATGGATGAATATTGAAAATACTAAGCTAACTGAAAGAAGCCGTATTACTAAGCCATATAGTATATGATTCCACTTATATGCTAGAGACAGAAAGTAGATGAATGGTTGCCAGGATTTGGGGCTGAAGAAGGACAGAAAGGAAAAAGGAGTGCCTGCTAATAGCCATGGCTTTCTTTTTGGGATATTGAAATGTTCTAAAATTTGTGGTAATGGTTGTATAACTCTATAATATGAATATACTAAAAACCACTGAACTGTACATATTTTAAATAGTGAATTTTGTGGTATGTGAAATGTATCTCAAGTTGCTTTAAAAAAAAGTCACAAGTTGGGCCTTCCAGGTGGCACAGGGGTTACAGTGTCAGCACTATCAAGCTGTCACCAGCCACTGTGGCATGAGTTCTATCCCTGGCCAAGTTGCTGACCCACAAGGCACAGCAGACCCCTCCGGTCTCGCCTGCTGCTCCCCTCAGCAAAGTATTTCAGTAGACCTGCCTGTTCTGCTCCGCACTCTGTCTCTGGTGAATCTTCTCACTCCCTTCACCTCTGGTCTACACCCCAGTTCTTAAATGCATAAATTAAATTAAATCTTTCAAAAAAAGAGATTATAACAATATACTTATTACTTTCTATATTGTCAAATTCTTCTATCTGAAAGCTCAAACAAAATAACCTGAACATTTTTTACTATATTAATCTGGGTGAAAAAACAATTTGATGACAATGAAATTGACACACTTGACTGATTCACTGACTGGAAGCAAATGAAAATGTAAGCTCATCTTTACAAGGATAATGAAAAGGTAAACACCAGCCCATTCTAATGATTAAATGTAGCAAATCAGTAATGGAGCACTAAATTAATTTGTCATTACAGTTCCTTTTATTCATTCCATTTGACCGTTAATGATATATCTATTAGTCAAGTAAGACATACCTACGACCTCTTAATGCATTTATCTTATTTAGTCCTTTATTAGTTGATCATATGTAGTTAGCATATTTTTTCTGCAAATTCTATCCATACTGCCAACAGACTATATTAATTTAAAAACAGTGAAAACAATAAGAATTAGAGCTTTAACATGATGGGGGTATACCAATATTACCTCAAAAATATATAAATTAATTTAAAAAAGAACAAGTGTTGTACTCATAGCTGACTCCCCTGTTGCATCTAATACAAAGGTTTTCAGAGCAGATAACAAAATTTAATTGGCTAAAACAAACAAACATGATTCAA